TCCATCTCAAATTAAAGATTTATTCGCAATTCTGAGAGAGATTTGCTCTACATATATATTCATGAATATGAAAGGACTTATTTTGAAAAGACATATCTAACACGCGTTTAAATGAATAGAAAAGAGTTGAGCTTAAGATTAACTATAGCTTTTTTTTTTAAATTAAAAATTTGTTTCGGTTTTTTAAAACTATTAATAATTATGTATTTAATAAATACATAAGTTTTTTTTTTTGGCCTGGGAAATATGATATTTGCTACAAAAGAAATATAGTCAAAAATGTGTGTAGAATACAGCCAAATTATTAAAAATCGAAATATCAAAATTAAAATTTTAAATTTTGTGTGTTTCATTTCTTATTGATCATAATATAATTAAAAATTTTATTTTACACTTTTCACGAGTTTTAAATCCAAAAATATGTTACTGAAATTTTATTTTTTGAATCTAGGTTAAAGTTTTCAGTTACATATCCTTCTAACGAACGCAATTTATCAAATTAATTTGTTTTGATGTGTCAAAATATTTTCAGAATTAAAATTTAAGGTAGATATTCTTTACGCTTCATTCTTATTCATCAAATTCTAGCCAGAATTTCCATACATAAAAAATGCCGATTCTTTTTAATATATAAATAACAAATACATTAATTATTTTAAGTCGAATTGTGTCTTTAATTATCAGAATACAATCTTTAAAATATTTATGAGTGACTGTTACTACTTGTTTAAATCAAAAAAAAATTATTAAAAATAAAATGCCTTTCGTTTTTATCATGAAGATAACTTATAACTTTGGCAAATAAAGAAATAAATCGGAAGTTATATTATAGTAAAACATGAAATGAATTACAAAGTAGCAATATGTTTTGACACATTCATATTGTAACGTGAGTATTTTTTATATTTGTAAAGAAATAATAAAAATTCTATAAAATATAAAAAAAGAATGGATAAATATCATAAAAAATGTTATAAAAAAATGAGAATATCAATTCATTTTTAAATAAATCTTTTCACAATTCTTTTTCACTAAAAATCTATTTTCTCTGAAAGGAACTGTATTCCTAAATATGATTATTCTCACGTTTTCTGAGTGAAAATAGAATTGGATCGTAAATAGAATTGTAGAAATATCATCACATCTTATGTGAATTATTCTCGTTTGTACATGGAAGCAGGTCTCGTATAAAATATAGAAACGATTCTTCTTAAATCACATAATCCTTTTCGTAAAACCTTAAGAAACAAAGGTTGTTATTTTAAGCAAACAGTATAATTCAATAATTTTGTTAGCTGCTTTTCGTGAATAAGGAAGCACTGTTTCAATCGAGTTACCTCAAATAGATGTTTTACATTTTTTTTATTATGTTTGGAGAAAAAGAATAGATGTATAAAAAAGATTTCAATTTCTAGTGAGATTTTCCTGAGTGTACTTGTTTTTTGCAGATCATTTTGTGCACTTGTGAATTTATTTGAAAATATGCCCTCAAGTTGTTGAATGCTGTGTGTGTTGGCAGAAAAAAATATTTGTGTTAAATGTATTAATACAGAAGGGAAATGGCAATTTAAAAAATTGTTCTTTAGTGCTCAAGTGCAAGATTCAATCATAAAGCATAAAATAACACAATTTAATTATTAAAACTAGTTTTATACCTCAAAATTCAAAGTATATGAACAATTCAGCAGTAAGTTATAATATCTAGAGTTTTCAGCAATAAGTCGTAGTACTTTGAGTTTTCAGTAATAAGTTGTAGTATTTAGAGTTTTCAGCAATAAGTTGTGGTATTTGGAGTTCTCGGCAATAAGTTGCAGTATTTAGAGTTTTAAGCAATAAGTTTTAATAGCTAAAATTATATTTATGATTCACAGTAATGAGTTTAAGTTGTAAGATCTAGACTTCATTACCTTACTCTTTAAAATAATATATATATATATATATATATATATAGTAAAATTTTCAAATTATAAAATCAAAAATAAAACGTTTAAAATTATCTCTCTCTCTTCCATAAAATTGACTTTCTCAAAAAGACAAAAAAAAAACTATTGATTTTACACTTAACTTTGAAATTGTATCAATCAAATAAAAATGCTTCTGACTATTTATTTAACAACAAAAGGTAAAGTACTTCAAATGTAAAATATTTGTTAATATATATTTTAGTAAAATTTTACTTGAAAAAAGATAAAAAGTGTAATATATTTAAAATAGCAATTTAAATATTTAATTTATCCTGGATAACATTTATAAATGAGATGTATCTTTTGATGAAAGTACTTGCAATTATATTTCTAAAATATGTGTACAACATTAAATCAATTTTAAAAATTTTAAAAAGTTAATTTAAGATTTTTTTATTCTTATTATTCAACTTTTATTCATAAACTTTCTTTTCAAGTTTTCAAAAAGAGAAATCTCGTAATTGGCAAGTATATATTTCATCTAATTTTTGACAACTGCAATTTAATAAGTATTGAAAATAACACTAAAGTTGGAAGAATTCTGAAAAAGTTTTTATTTCCTTTACCATTTTTATCATTTAAAAAAAACTGTGTGCGGTAAAAATTTCAAACAGAACGACTCGATAACAAATTTATTTCCAATTAGAAATTACTCTCCTTGCATTATTTGAAGAAATTTCTCCAATTGAAGAAATTAATGTACTTAATATATTCACTAAAGCTTATGTATTCATATTTATGAAATTTTTCACTTGAAGAAATAATCAGTTTGAAACGATAAAAAAAAGAACGTGGAAAGCCAAGCGATAGAAGTGAAACTTCTTTGGCGACGTTGGCCGTAAATGCAGGAATAGATCTAATTATATTAAACTGCTGAAGAGAACTTTAATCAAATAAAATTCAAACTTTATTTATTGTATGAAAATATTTTTATTCAATTTTCTGCGTCATCATTTTCCAAGAAAGACACAATAGGTGTGTGGTAACTAAAGTAGGATATAAAAATCCTCGATTGTATTCAATCAAGAAAATGTGAGAAAACTGCATCAATCGTGGTTCCGTATATTGTTTTTCCTTCTCTAGAATCATTATTAATTGTCAAATTCAGTGTCCGTTTCAAGAATTCAATGAAGGGCTTTGCTTCTTCTGAAGCAAAATTAACATTAAACTCTCCAGTTAAGATAATCGGCTTTTAATCATCATCGGATCCAATGATTACAGCAGCCTCTGGTGTGTACAGTACTAAAACTTTATGGATAAAGATGATAAGAGCTGAGACAAAACTACCTGGTGATATAGAAACTTTAGCCTGAAATTGCTGCCACTTTTCCTTTTTTTTTTTTCTTTCATGAAACTCTTTTCCTCTTTTTGTATTTGTTCTAAGCTATCTGACCAGAATTAATTTTGATTCAATGGAAATAAAAATTAATAATATGAACTTAATGCATCACTCACAGAAGTCACTGTGTTTGTTTACAAGACGCTATCCATAGCGATTCTGGCGCGAACGGTAGTGGCATATACAGAATGCCCCAGACACTCCCGTAACGGGAAGAGCCATATAATGGTAATATTTTCGGTGCGTTTATTCGTTGAAAATGGCACGTTTATTACATAAAAACTACGAAAATACGCCACGCGAGTTCATTACGAGAGTAGCAAGTGTACCCATTTAATGTCACCAATACCTAAGCGCCTTTCGTCCATAGCACCAAGATATACTTTTGATGCACAATTCCCCCTAAGAAATCGTCCAACTTTTTCACGGATATGACGACGGCTGCGGTGGCCGAGTGGTCTAGGCATCGGATCATGACTAGCATGTCATGAGTTCGATCCTAGTATCACTAAAGACCCGCCGTGTAGGGGAGCGATGCACGTTAAATCTGTCGAGAGCTCAAACGTCCTCCCGTTGGTGTGGTGTGGTAGTTAGGAGAGGGGGGTACCAGCTCAGGTGTCGTCCGCGTCACTTGACCATGGCTCGAAATTACGCGGACCGTCGCCAAAAGCCCTCGTGTTGCTAATCAGTGTGACGTTAATATTCTCTCTCACTCATTCACGGATATGACGCAAGTCATATAGTGCCCCCCCCTTCCCCCGCTCGCTATCTCCTCACCATTGCGACGTTTCGGGGGATGGGGGAATCACTGCTTCCGTTCGCTTTTTCACTGTTACGCAAAACTGGGTAAATTTCCCATTCACTCCCGTCCGCAAAGAAGTTTCACTTCAGTAAAAACCTTTCACCTTATTTATGATGATATAAGCAAAAAAAGGGAATTTAAAATCCTTAAATATGTTATGGACATAAAAAAACTAAAAAATTAGAATTTAAAGGGGCCACAAACAGCAATACGAAATATTACACGCCATGTCATTAAACTTGGTGAGTTTATCTCATTGAATCTTTGAAAATCGTATGATTAATTTTTTGGTGTTTAGAGGAGGATATAAACAGAGCAATAAAAACGTTATACTTTATGTGATTGAATCAGAGTTTATCTCCCTATTGGCTTAGATTTGGATTTTTACAATTTATTCTAGAAAAAAATATAAGTGGCCATCCCTCTAATGAAAATTGTTCATTCAATCTAGTACGACGTATCTGGTAAAATGGAATGACTATAAATGATATTGTTCTATCATGCACTAAACATTCGGAAACTCTTAATACATGCGGTCAGAGTCTTGTTCCAAAAATGGCACTATGAGACTATTAATGAAAGAACACATCTTCAATCTTGCCAAATTTTCTCAAATAAAGGACTTTTTTTTCAATTCCTACTATTAGTTCACTCTCTCCCTATATATATATTATTATTATTTATATATCTTGTTCAAATTTTCAATCGTTAATAAAATACTTTCTATTCATCCATTCAAGTTCAAATGTCTTTTTTACACCTTGTAGTGAATGACACTTGATGTTAATACAGTTCTTCCAAATATTAATTCATAAATTCTATTTAATTAATAAATAAACAGTAACAAAAAAATAATAGTTCAACAGCATAAATAGAAGGGAAAATCATTCGTTGTGTTCCTCTAGCGAAATGAATAACGCGTTGAACTTCTGATCCAGAGGTCGTGGGTTAGAATCCCACTTGGGATGGCCTAATTTCTGAGAATGTGATTTCTTTTTTACTATACTGTTTTATTAGAATAATTAAATTTAATTAATGAATAAATAGTAACAAACAAAAAATAGTCCAAAACCATATATAAAAAGGAAAATGAAAAATTGCAAGGAAAATCTCATTCTATTTTGTCGCTTAATATTGTGATACTGTCCTATGTATATATAAATTTATATTAATTGTAACTATATAATTAAAAGTAACTAAAACAAAAATTTTCTTTGTTGATCTAAGTAGAAAGTGACTTTAAAAAATTTATTTTATATAACTTGCTAATAAATAAATGCTGTTTGAAGCAGTTAAGCTCACAGCATTAACATCTAATAATGTCCGTAATCTTTATCGTTGACATTTTGATAGATACGTTGTTTTAATTTATATGATACCAGGTGAGAATTCATTGCATTACGATCTAATGCACATATAATTGAATTATATATGTTAAAACAAAGCTGAGTTGTAAATTCTTCAAAAATCAACATTTGTTTGTAATCTGTTCGTCTACTCTTGTGCAAGGTTCTATCATGAATTGTTGATAACTTTCGACTAAATAATTTTCTTTTTAAAAAAAATTCTTATATGTATCTCTATAAATTTCAAAGACATTCAGACTTCCCAAACAGACATTGCTGTGTCTATAACTGTCCATTTAAGAAATGCAAATATTTGCCTATCGCATGTCTTCACCTTATTCACTTCTCCGCTATAGATACAAGGAAATATTCTAAAAGACCTTTACATCCAGTATAACATACTGCAAAACACTTCAAGATGAAAACTTACAAGCAGTTTATTTGTTTCTTTCGGAGCAGTTCAATTTATATAAAATGCTTTTTGTCATCGATAAAATATCATAGCACTTATAGAATACTTTTTTCAACTCTCTAATGTCAGTGTAATATTTGCTGGGCAACACTTAGCGTTTTTCGTTATTTCTGAGATAAATTCTTAAATGTCATTCGTTCTACATTTAGATTTTTGGAATCTTACGTATATTTTTGGAATCACATTTCCATAAATACTTATTTGATCCACTTCTCTGTTATTTCTCAGCAACTAAGTCTAGAAGAGAGATAATCATTATTTTAAATGATGAAAGAATTGCTGCGTTTTTATCGATAATTAGAAAAACTTGGAATAAAATTGTTTAGAATGTGATCATTAAAACTTGATAATAGTGTACGGCAAGTGGGTGACTGAAATCATAAATTAAATTACTTGCATACAAATATATCGATGTCTAATATACAACTGGAACTCTTAAAAACAGCAACAAAAACGAAATTATTTATGTACATCTTAAATTTGTTTCTTTTGTTCCCTTCTCATTGAGAGTTTATCTCTCCCAAACACATTTCCTGTCAAGCTCAAAAATAATTTCTTTCCCATGCAAATGGTAAATATATTTGATAAAAAGGGACAAATAACTTTTTGGTCTATTGAACGTTCCAGCACATAATGGAACATTGACCTTGCAACGTAATGTATTCGTTTAAAGCGGAAGGATATCCTCCGAAAGATGAATTGTTCCAAGTTAAAAACAAACAGCGAGATATTAAAAACAAACATTGCTCTTTAGAATTCAAATGAAATGGATCTGCAACCCCACATAGTTCTCTCTCCGCTTTGTGTCAAAGTATTATGAAAGGCAAGAAATTGTAAAGAAGCTGCAATCATATTCCATTACATTTATTCTTATCTACCCAATGTAGCGTATATCGAGCCATGTTTCTCTGTTTACAATTATAATAGATATCGAAAACATTTTACTTCTACATTTATCCTTTTATTTGTATAAATTTATTGCGCGAAACACTGCAAACACGAGATGTCTTTTGAAATCTAATTTATTTTGTACTACTCCTCCTTTCTAAAGTTTTATTTTTGTTGAAAAAAGGAATAAATTTAAAGTATCCAGTTTGGTTTTTTAAATGTAACTTTTATTTTCCCCATATCAATACTTTTAAAACAATGAATCCAATACAATTCCAATATGGAGAACATTTATCTTTATATTCATATATTTAAATGGATTATTTAAGAAAAATCTTGAGCCTGAAATGAATGCATGATTATTTCCTTCTCACTAAATGTTTGACGTTATAATAAGAATAAACAAGTAATATAAAAAAAAATTTTTATTTAATTCCAACTTTACTTTGAATGCATATATAAGGAGAGAGCGAACTAATAATAGGAATTAAAAAAGAGCAGATTTGTCTGCAGTGTTGTAACAATGCACACCTGGTTTGGCTGAAAAACCGATTTCCGAAGCCAAATTTTGTCATTGTTTTAACAGTTACATTGTTACAAAAATGGATATAAATTTAGGCTGGCGTCAAAAACCGGTAATTAATAAATTAATATTTGAAACAACTATACTAACATCAAGTGTCATCCACTACAAGTTAAAAAAACTTATTTGAACTTGATTGGATGAATAGAAAGACTTTTATTAAGGATTGAAAATTTGAACAAGATATACTTGTATATATATATAGAGAGAGAGTGTGAGTTAATAGTAGGAATTGGAAAAAAGGGTTACGACCACCTTTCTGATAATAAAGATCATTTCAGTTCTCAATCTACAGCTCTATAATTCTTTCCTTTTTTTTTCTTTGAAAATATCTTTTCTCCTTTTTTTAAGAAAAAAAAAGTGACTCCCTCACTTATTTACTCACTACCAAATATCCGAAACTATTAGATATACAGATTTGAAATTTCGCCAGCAAGTTTCCTTTGTTGAATAGATATCAGTTAAGAAAGTTTTGTGGAAATTGACACCCAAGTGAGGAGTGAGTAAATATTAACGTCACACTGTTCAGCTACACCAGGGCGTTTGGCAACGGACCTCGTAATTTTGAACTATGGTCAGGTGACGAAGACGACACCTGAGATTTGTTGAGCTCTCGATAGATTTATCATGCACCGTACCCCTACACGGCTGGTCTTCAGGGGTACTGGGATCGAACTCATGACACGCCGTGACACCCAAGAGGGGTTATGTGGGCGCTTAAGATTTTAAAGAACATTTTTCAATTATTAGGCCTGCAGATTTAAAATTTCGTAAGCATGTTTCTTTTGTTGAAAAGAGATGCATCAAAAATAGATTTTCTGGCAATTGACCCTTCAAATGTGTGCAGGGAATGATGGGGGCAATTTTTTTAAAAAAAAAGAAAATACTGTTTTTGAGCTGTTAGACCTACGGGTTTGGAAATTCGCAAGCATGTTTCATTTGTTGAGTGGAAATCCACTAAAAATAAGTTTTTGCGCAAGACTCTTTTGTGTGTGGCAGGAGGGGTATTGGTGGGTAAAAGATAATTATACTTTTATTTTAGAAATTCAAGCCTTGTTCTTTTTTTAATAAAGATTCGTGTTTCAATGTAATTGAAATCTTATTACAAAGACTTAGACATCAACATATTAAAGAATGTAAACAGTCATCCCATAGCAGCTCCCAGAAAAGAAGATGATTAATGTCTAGCGTGGTATAATGTAAATCAATATGTGGCAATTATTTTCAAACCAACATAATTCTCGTTATTTTTGCAGCTGATCTTTGTTAAGCTAGGATTTTTTAACAATATGTTTAATGTCTTAAAACTGATTGACAAAATTCAAAAATAATTGCCCACATGATATTTATATACTACATCCTAAACAAACTTTCAAATAGATCTAATATTGCTTTGATAACATCAATAATAATAATCAAATTTTAGGCCTTTATTCCTTATTAATTATATCATAATAAATCTAAACTCCTCATAATAAATCTAAACATTGCCAATTATTTTATTTGCAAAAATGTGTAGTATCTCGTTTATTTTATTTAAAACATTTCTTCTATTACTAATACAAACTGTTAAGTACACTTTTTTTAATTAATAAATTTTTAGACTTACATAAAATTTAAAAATACTGTACGTAAATAAATAAATATTTCGTTTAAAAATTGCATTCATGTCAAAGAAAATATATCACATTCAATTCACTTTTACTCACGCATAATATTTTCACTCAACATTTAATTATATGACCTAAAAGAAAGAAAAACAGCATTTTAATAAGCAAATTTATTCCAATTTTTATACGTTAAACAATTACACCAATGTCAACTAAAATGAGCGGAACTCATTTTTTTCTGCTTTTCTAAATAAAATGCTTGACAAAATAAAATATGATGGGTTCGCCAAAGCTCTCGAAACGCCTTATGGAAAAGTCTCTTTAATTAGAAGTTTCGCTTTTTACTTCCTACACTAAAAAAAATATACAAAGCTTATAATTCGTAACAATTATTTAGAAAAGTCCAGATTTATTTCGTAATTTCCAGACCTCTCGCTGTTTGCATTTAATTAAATCCAGACTGTTTCTGCTTAAATATTTCGTTCATTATTTTGCTCAATGGCCTGCTTATGTGTTTCTCAGAGCCAAAGATCCTTGTGTTACAATAAAAGGAAGTGTTCAGAAATAATAGTATACATTGTATTAAATACTAGTTTAGATAATATGACAGACTTCGTTATTTATAAAAGAGTCTATTTTTTGCTTGATGTATTTATAATAATCAAGCAGTTTTAAAATGCCTATTATTTTCTTACCTTTTAATTGTTCTCAGTATTTAAAAAATGATTTCTAAATTATAAAAAGATTTTAAGATTAATATATTATGTTGCGTTTCAATAATTAGATGTATATTTTCGGATTTGGTAAAATTAGATACATATAATTTATTTTTGGAAGATTTTTAATCACTATATTTTGGGGAAATTTTGTGTTAAACACAAGAAATCCTTCAGAAGTTAAATGATAGACATTTTTATCTTCCATATCAACATTTAAATTATAACATATAAATAAAAAGAAATTTAAACAATCTTTACGCAAACATGCATTTTTAGTAGATAATAAAAATGACCTGCAAATTCTGAATAAAAACGTCTGTATTTCTGAATGTAGGAAATTGTAAAAATAT